GGTAAGAATGGTAGAGCATTTATTGTGTAATATTTGAGATTATTTTATTAATTTGATTTCTCCCAATCGTGTTAATAAATTTTTTTAATTTTTTTTTTAAGCCTAATATATTGCGTAATTGTTTTAAATTATTTGGTAAATGTTCGTACAATTTTGGAGCTATATACAGGTGACATCGTTTCATTAGGGATTTGTTTGGTTTAGGAACATTTTTTGCTCGTAATTTATATCTGGTTTTATGATTATGTTTAATTATGTCGTGTTCACTAATAGTTTTGTGATAATGAGTGATGGTATGTAAGAAGTAAAGTTGTTTAGTATCATATACTTGTGTATCATTATATAAGTCATTAGTTGGGTATAATTTTGATTTGCCTAACATTGATTTTAAAATTCTTCTTTGAAGTACATCTAAATCGTTAAAGTATGTCGTGCATGCAGCACCCCACACTACTATACCATATGTTATGTGTGGCTCGACTAAAGCTTGATATATTATTCGTAGATAATATTCAGTTAATATACCGGTTAGAAATTTTATTTTATATGCTATGAATCTAATTTTCTTTAGTATGTGAGAAATATGTACATCCCATCTCAAGTGGGGATCTAGATAAATTCCTAAATATTTTTTATCATTAACTCTATTGATTTTTATATTTTTATCATTTACCTTAAACCGAAGGTGGTTATATTTTGGTAGATGATTAGATAGTGATGAAAATGGTAAAAAATGAGTTTTAGTAAAGTTAATTGTTAATTTTCGGTTATTAAACCACTGAATAATTTTGCAAAAGTCATTTTGGATAATATCTTTTAAGTCGTTCCAATCCTTACCTTTATAGAGTATAGCAGTATCGTCTGCAAAACTGACTATTTTACCAGTACTTTTTATTTATTTACAATGTTCTCGAATCAAGAGTTCGCCGACATGTTGTTAGTTTACGATGAAGGGTACACGGACAGAAGGATGTTTCTGCAAGTGTACCAAAGACTTCGAGATACAGGAAGTGTTCAGCCCACTAATATTCGCACTCGTGAAAGACAGGTTACTGTAGAGCAGGAGGGATAAAATTTAAATATCGTGGAAATCAATGCAGATATCAGCACTCGGGAATTAGGCCGCCGCGTAGGACTATCGCATACCATAGTCCACAGAATCCTACGGGAAAATTTGCTTGTTACCAGAAGACTATCCTCGCAGACTACCATGTCAGTGGTTTTTGCACAAAAACATTGAAAATCCAGATTTCTTTAAAAACATTCCAGAGACGGACGAATGTACTTTTACGCGAGACGGGATATTAAATTACCATAATATTCACATGTGGGCCCAAGAAAATCCTCATACCATTCGTGAAGGTCTTTTCGAACAACGCTTTAAAATAAATATTTGGGCGGGTATTCTTGATGATCAGGTAATTGGCCTTTCGAGTTAGCCCCAAAGTTGTCAGGAGAAGGATACCTTAGCTTTCTAGCCAATAATCTACCAGAACTTTTGGAACAGACCTTAGACAACATGCCATTACAACGGAGACAGAATGTGTGGTTTCTTCATGACGGGGCACCACCACACATTTTTAGACGCGTCATTCAGTATTTGAATCAACATTATCCAAATCGCTGGATCGGTCGAAATGCTCCTGATCCTCGAAAATGGCCAGCAAGATCTTCTGACCTCAATTCGATGGATTTCTGTTATTGGGAAGAACTCAAATCGATGGTTTATGGAGCTGGTCCAATAACAACTGAAACACAACTTCGTGAAAAAAAATTAATGCGGCTGAAATAATAAATGAACGACTTCGAGGACCTAGAGTAAGAAGAAACTGGGCTCGTCGTAATGAAGCTTGTGTGGAAAGTGGAGGACGATATTCTGAACACCTTCTTTAAATACAAAAAAATGCAGTGTGGGTTTTAAAAAGAAAAGCAATGTATGTGTTCCCTATTTATAAGTTGATTTTTCTAATACGTTCAATAAACTTTCACACACCAGGTGAAGCGCTGAGACAGTTAGTGGTAAGTCCGTTTTTTTAATTGTTTGCATTTTACGAGTACATTATCAAATAATGAATTAATACCTAAGAAACAAAAATAAGAAACTCCATCTTTATTTACACTGCGTGTCGTCGTAATTTGCGTCTGGCATTGCGGCGTTGTCATACTTTATTTTACTTTAAGATCGCTTTTCTCTAAAAAAATGCCGTTTTGACCCCCATGTTATATGAAACTTTTTACTTCCTTCAACCCCCTCTACCTCCCATTTAAATAATGACCATCATAACGTTTACACCCTGTATTTAGGTTTGCCTGAAAGAACATTAAATTCATCTCGATGCTACTTAACTGGTAGAAAACAAAGAATTTCCATTGCTGAAGAAATATCGCCACCTAAATCTATATTTTCCGGCGTACCACAGGGATCCAGTTTGGGGCCACTACCCTTCACTCGCTACACGTCAAGCTTAGTGGAGATAATGACATATGCTGATATCAAAATATGCTCACCGTTTGACCTTCAAAACAGCTACCTTGAAAATAAATAAAAACCAATGGTTTTCTGAAATTGAACACGCGGTTCTATATCAACGACTTCCAATCAAAGTTGACCGAATATGTAAAGAAGTGTATTTGATGCAAAGTTGAGATTCCGAGGACATAGTCATAACTAACTTAGTATTAAGGCTTTTATATGCGAACAAAGATATAATGACAAAGTTTATTAAAAAAATGCTATGTGAAAGTTAAGCAGTTTCGAAAATTGTTTATCATTATATCATACCTGTCTAGACCAAAACACTGCCATACTCTTGAAAAAACTCCAGGATTACTGTTGTCGTCTTGTGAATAATTTAACCAGATATGGTAATACCTCAGGACCCATTAATAGCACGCGATGGTCGCACGTTAATAATTTACTTAAATATTCATTACTCACTGCAGTACATAAAATAAAATTTACTGGAAAACCTTTATACTTATACAAAAAGCTCATAACTGGGCAAAACATATAATTAAGCCTACCAAAATCATACAGCTTCCAAATTTGTTCACTATGTTTCAACATAAAACAGAATTATTTACCAGGTATTTCACATTTAATGCAGTATCCTTGCATAATTCTTTGCTAAACCAATTTAAAGAGATGTCGCTGACTAAACTAAAACGTAATTTAAAATAACAGCTTCTACACATATAGTAGTATAATTATTTCCGTTTTCTCATTGGTTTTATTGTTATTATACTAACTTTTTACTAATCTAAATTCGTAGTAACTAATCACTATTTGATAGCTGAGTGAAAGAATAGCCGTGCCTAAACTTCGCTAATTCATAACATATTGTTAGTTATAAGTAAATACGTTTATTATTATTATTTATTCTCCCTCGCATTCTCTTTCCTTGGAAGAGATCACTTTCCCTACCGAGAGTAAACCATACTCCTAGGACAGGTAAGTTTTGTTTTTAAGTTACTGTCAGGTTGATCTCTCCAGGAACTTCTTTTATCTTTTTTGATATACTTTTTGTTATGGTACTAGTTAAACCTATTTTTACCTACATATCCAACATTCGTCCTATCTCAATCTCCAGGTCTGTGTATTTATTTTTCGGCCTCTTTTCAAACAACATTGTAGTCAGATAGCTTAGCAACGTCTATATGTCTATAATGATGCAGAATTTACCGATCTTGTCTTTTATGATAATTTCAGGCTTATTTTCGGAAATACGCCTGTCTGTTTGGATCTGCATGTCATAAACGATTGTTACGTTTAAAGTTTCCATCACTGACTCTGGATTATGGAGATACCACTTGTCACATACTGTGATTCCAAAATATTTACATATATTATAATGTAGGTGATCAGCAACACTGTTTTACATAATCTACATTTTGATGCCGTGATCACCGCGTCTATTTCACCTTTGATGTCTCCACTTTGAAGCCAACGCCACGTGCTGCGCGCGTCGACATATTCCTTCTGCACTTTTTTTGGTTACTGCCCATGCAGTTTCTTACCACTCCATTTCTCTTTCAGCTTTCTATGAATTTTCTCTTTTGGTCTAACCATTATTGCTTTTACTCTGTCTTTGTTGTTTTTCTTGGTGTTTTCTATCATCTCGTCTTCATGCTGCTGATTTAAGCGGCCTTCAATTCCTTTTATTTCACAGTCGTGAACGACCTTGATCAGTTTTTCGTTTCGTTTCGATTTCATGTAATTCGCAAGCCCCTGCAGTCAAATAAGGCCTCGAACTGTTTGAATCCTTTCCCAACTTCCTTTCTGGGTACATAGATTCAGTCAAAGTCTGCTTGTGGGTGTAATAGTCCATGCATGGTTAATAGTTATATGGTTTATGTATCTGGTTTTCTTATATCTTCTTTTGTACATTTAACTATAGGTATATAACTATACATGACAACCGGAACAGCTAGATTAGATATTGCTAAGCCTTTATTTATTTTCTGTAATAGTCTTTCTTAATCTTCTCTTTCATATATTCATTCTGCATGACACATTATTATTATTGTTATTAGTATGTGATAAATAAAATTGGCCCAAGAACATTACCATATGGGACTAGAATTTTGATACTCCAAGGTTCATTGCAACATTCTCGAATTTTTACAATTTGACTCCTGCTGGATAAATATGATTGGAAAATTTGTAGAGCAGGAGCTCCAATACCGTAATTTTATCAGTTCATCATGTGAAACCGTATTGAATACTTTTGCCAGGTTTAAAAAACGGGTATGCTTTTCTTTCCTGTGGCCACCTAGCTCGCCGAAACCTCAAGTCTATATATGTGGTTCTACCAGAAAACATAGGAATATCTTTTAATTGGACTTTTTCACTTCGCTGTATGCTTGCGACTGATCCTAAAAGTCCGATAATTCTAAACAAAAGATCATCTGAAACGCCTTTGGCAATGATCATAGCGGATAGTATCTCGTTTTGATGTCCCGTGATGTTTCTATTTTATATTCAGTATTTATTTGTATCGGATAAAGTTTACAACCAACGTCAATGCCCACATAATTAACCTATTTATGTGGACCGCGATAACTTGTGATGAACTTACAGACTTTTTGTGTTTATATGGAACCGTCTTATCGGAGCTACGCGTACTCAGGGTCAAATGCGGGACCGACCCTGATGGGAGGTAATCGACATGATTTATTGACTAAAATAAATAACTTTTTATCAATCTGCTTGTCAATTTCGTTGCTCGGCATCCGGAGTGCAGCTTTGATTTTGTCGGGAAATAATGAAAATATAAGATTTTTCAACGAAAATAGAGAAGAATATGCTATTTTTTTACTTTCTACTCTACTGTACTAGAGATTTTGATATGAAATGTATTAAACTATTCTTCCAGTTGTCAATAATGGTTGTCTCTAAAGAAAATTTATTTAGTACATAGATTATAAAGAAACACGCTAAACATTTCATCAAACCTGGAACTTTCACATTTCACATTTTTTTTTTAGCACAATTTTTATAACTCAAAACCCAAAAATAGTGTCTACTGTGACGGAAAAATACATTCGGTCGATTTCGCCAAGCCAATTTACTCAGATTTAATGCTTTAGATAGTTTTTGTCATAGTCTTACTGATTAAGTAGCTTTGTTCATTCATCCTAAGCATTTCCACGACTCTTATTATGTTGTGCAAGCAAACAAACTTCTTCTTTTTTGCATAGTTCGGGATTGGAAGTTTAAATCATGTTTCATGGATACAAATGACATACATTTTTGGTTCAGGCATACAAATTTATTAGACACCACAACCTTTTACTTCCCACGCCTACTGGCAAAGAAGTATTGTACTCGCGAAAAATTAAAAAAAACAGTGTGAGAAATATTGTTAGCAGATATGACGTAACTGGTTCAGTTAATATTAAGCCACGATATGTGAAAAAAGTAATATCACAAATGTCGAAAAAAGAGCATTTAGAAGAACAATCGTGAAAAACAGGCGTGCCAATTATTTACAATTAAGTGCTCTGTGGAGTGACGCTGTTGGAAGGAGAATTTCGAGGTCCACAACTCATAGAGAGGCCCACAAACTGTGATTTAGCACTTGCAAAGTAAGTTTTCTTATAAAAAAAAAGTGAAGTAAAAACCCTAAAGTTGCACAACTCGTCTATAGGCCAAAGAAAAGCCACTATTAACTCCACTGCAAAAGAAAAATCGGCTTAGATGGGCTAAAGAACATAGCCAATAGACACCTCAACAATAGTGAGCAATATAATGGAGTGATGAGGCCCGATTCGAAGTTAGTGTTGGTGACAGTCGCAGTAGAGTTATTCGCAAAAAAAATGAGGCATTCCATGTTGACTGTCTGAAGAGAAAAATGAAATTTCCAGCATCCATTATGGTCTGGGGCAGTATGTCATCAAAAGGAGTAGGAAAGCTTCATTATATTGATGGAAATTTGGATACAAACAAATATTTGGCAATTTTAGAAGAATCCCTTTTACCAGTGATGGAAGAATGTTTGACATCCGGCCACGATTTTGTGTTTTAGCAACATGCGTGCCAGACCTCAAAAAAGGCTATAAAATGGATGGAAGAAAATAATGTACCACTTTTGAAATGGGTTTCTAGCAGTCCAGATCTGTCACCTATTGAAACTTTTTGGCACGAGATGAAAAAGGTTCTACTTGGTTAACACTATGCCCCAAAGAATTTCAGCCATAATAAAAAATAAAGGTGATGTTACCCAATGGTAATCTTTCAATTGTTGCTTTGTTAACTTCGCGCATTTATTCGCATGTTTGTTTATTTGTTCAGATGCTCTATTAGTTATAGGTCTAAGTGATTTCAAATATGTATTTTTTATGACTAGAGTGTATCTAAAATGTTGTTGAGAAATTAGATTGTTTTAGGAGTAAATAGTTTCGTCATGTTTAGTTTATAAAGGCATATCTTGGTACAAATGTTGAAGTGGGCCAACTGAAGTGGGAAGCGGCTCGTATATCACGAAAAACTGTAACTCATCTCCGTCAGTCTGTGTCCGTTAATCCTTTGCTCGTCTATATCTTTCAATTTCTCTGATATGCATCTTTGCGAAGGTCTTTGAAATAATACTTTATTTTAACTGCATATCTGAAGCACTGGATGATATCTGACAGGTCGATTTCATATATACAGATTTTTGAAAGGTCGTTGGAACAGTTGAACCTGAAGCTTTGTTAAAGAAATTAACGCGCTTTGGATTCATAGTAGCTACTACAGGATCCTATTTATTTGGGCGGAAGCAATACGTAGCATGTCATGGGTTCAAGTTCAAAGCCTACTCGACTCCATCCGATGTTCGCCAAGGGTCTAACTTGGGACCACTTTTATTTCTGTTGTTTGTTAATGACCTCTGTGAAAATTTTAAATGTATGCAATTATGTTTTACCGACGACATGCAAATATATTCGTCTATAAGAGACATTCATGATTGTTTGGATGTACAGATAGAGTTGAAAAGTATTCGCATTTTGATGTTTCCCCACTAGGTTATTACTATGCCAAGGATTAAAATGATTTGTGGTTTTTGGAAATTGATTTAATGGCGGCGAAGCTATAGGCAAAAAAAGAAGAAAAAAATGGAATCGCTCAAACTTCATTTTTTGATATGTCAGAGGCCCCTGATTATGTTCAGAGACAAATTTTGTAGATTAGCTTGAAACTGAGGTTGTAGATGGTAGGGGGAAGGTATATCTTAATGCTAGTTAGAATCGTGCTACGGGAGGGATACAAAATATTAATTGTTCTTATTTCATCTTTCTTTCAGAGGCTGTTTGTCTCACTGCCGACAAATGATAGTAATAAGTGATTCCTCATTACTTCTTACCTCTCATAACCACCATGAGGTTTCATGTTTCCTTTGATTTTCCAGCGGTTTTCGTTGTACCTGCTGAGTGAATTTGTATGAAGGGTAAAGTCATAGATTAACATATTCCATCTTAAGGCACTCAATTGAATTCAAAGCCATAACTGCGCAAAAGTAGGAACACTTGACTTGGTCATAAACCGCTTACTCCTACATTCATAATACACACAGTTTATGTAAATAAAAACTGATGAGTGAGGTTGAGGGGTGACCTTTCTATGAAAGGCTGAAGTCATATTTAAAAACAAATTACACTTTTCAGTAGGTAAATGGAGCCTGTTTTTGTTACTTTCAAATGATCCTTACGGTTATAGCCATTAACATTGTATACGGTTGGGTATTTCCTTGCTAAAATCTACATCTTCAGTTACTTTTAGCTCTATTTTAGATTCTCAGCGGTATCTCAAATAATAATAATAATAATAATAATAATAATAATAATAATAATAATAATAATAATATTTATTTGCTTTCAATTCAGTTACAAATGTTATAGGTGAAATAAAAAGCATGCAAATAAATATACAGAAGGCAAAGCCTGTGCGTGGTGAGATGTCTATTCAATATTCAGTCTATATCAGTATAATTGTCATTATAGGTACAATCGTCATAATCGGGTGTGCGACGAATCAGATAATGTCATATTAGGAAGTTCATTTGCTTTAGCTGCTGCATACCTGGATATGCTTAACCTTATGTATATATTAAGAACTTTAAAAAAAATTCCTTGACAGTTTAAAAACAAAGGTTTTAATCTTTTTTATAAGTACTATTTGAAAGAATTAGCTAATGTATGTGGAGGCGAGGTATTTAATCCACTTTTTTAGTTCTCTTTTAAACTGCATAGAATCATACTGTTTTAAGATAATAGGTAAACTATTATAAAGCTTCGATCTCTGCATGACATTGACATGAGGCTTTGGTAAAAATGCTCTCACTTTATGGCGAGTATCATAGTCATGCTCAGTTTGGCGTAACTTATGTTTTAGTTGGTGCTGCTTCATGATGGTCTAGATGAAGTAGAGTTGTCGAATATCATACCCTCCGATTTCGGTATATAATTGTTCTGTTGGGTATATTCTTGGCTTATTATATATTACCTTTAGAATGTACTTTTGTATTGTCTCCAGATTTTTCATGTGTGTCTTACACGTTGCTCGCCACGCGATCACACCATACATCAAATTGCTCTCAACTAGTGAATAATAAAGTACTTTCAATTCATAGACATAATATTTCATAAGATATTTAAATTTGTAAAGTATTGTACGCAATTTTTTAATTACGAAATGTATGTACGTGTCTCATTTAAGGGGAGAATCTAGGTACACCCCAGATATTTAACACTGCACAAATGTGTATCCTCTAGCGATATTAAAGGAACTATGTGTTCTCGAAAAAAAAATGGCAAGAACCTAATATTTAATTGTTTTATACCGAAGCAGCGGTCTAGGCAGAAGCCCAAATTCAGGGGCACCGTGACTGCTTAAGTATTTTAGTATATTTGTACGCTTCCAATTCCGATAATTAGACATATTTCAGACATCATCGGTTTACCCGTACATTTCTCCTTAAATCTTGAGAATGAGAGAAATATTTCCAATATACGATGGGTGTCTGTGCCCCGCAGTTGGCGGTGGCTCCCGTGGCGAAGTGTCATCAGGGGCGAGGTTAGTTATGGAAACGTTGCCAGATGGTCGGCACTGTCGATGAGGCAGGAGAGACATGTCTAGGTTACATTGTTGCGAAATGCGTGAGGACTATGAACTAATTGCATGAGCCTGTTTGACTGGCATGATACATGAATTTTTTGTTATACACGACCGTAGCTAACTTTTGTTTTGGAGTGAATATCTTGTGTCGAACATAATCGTTTATGACAGCGTTGCAATAGTGAAGTGGGAAAAATACTGGCTAGTGATTAACGATTGTTTTTAGTCACGACTGCTTAACTTTTGCAATAAAACTGCGATAAATGAGGAATTATAATATTAACAAAGTATTTTTATTATTGCAGTTATGCTGATTTAAAAAAATGTATGCTCGGTCTTATAAAAAGGTCATCTTTGGATATTTAAGAAGATAACGTCCGGGTTTGTGGGCAAAGGTCCGGCCAAATACAGTGTCGAATCCAACTTTTGTATTTTAAGGTTGCACGTCCCTTTTTTACGTTTTTTTTTAAGTTCCTGTTTCCAGCAATATTCTAAATCCTTTCCATCCGACCATTTCATGGTGTGTATAGAGATGATTAAAAAACAATATTATCAATTTTTTTT